AAATTTATATGAAAGAAATTTTAATAAAAGAGTTTGCTCATGTTTATCCAAATAGTGAAAATTTTCTTGTTTCAGAATGTTGGTTTTATGGTTTTCTTAAAAGAAATGGATTTTCTCTGCAACGTAAAACAAAAATCAGCCAAAAACTTCCTACTCACCTTAATGACAAACTTTTGGAGTTTCAGCAGTTTATTATTAAAAAACAAAAACAATTTGAATATGAACTTTGTAAAATTGAAAATATGGATGAAACTCCTGTTTATTTTGATATGGTTGGAAACTTAACTATAGAAAATCATGGTGCTAAAACTGTGCAAATTTGAACAACTGGGAATGAAAAAAATCGGTTTACATGTGTTCTTACAGTTCTTGTAGATGGTACAAAATTACCACTAATTGTCATTTTTAAAGGTAAGCAAATGCCAAAGAATTTACTTTCTGGAATTATTGTATTGATACACCCAAAAGGATGGATGGATGAATCTGGAATGAAAATCTGGTTTGATAAGGTTTAGAGAAAAAGGCCAGAAGGAAATAGAATCAATAAACAAAGATCCCTTCTTGTTATGGATAGTTTTGAAAGTCATAAGATAGATGTTATAAAAAAAATTGCATTTGATGAAAATACTAATTTGGCAATCATTTCTGGTGGTCTCACTTCTATTGTTCAGCTGCTTGATGTTTGTCTTAATAAGCCATTTAAAGATAGACTTTGTGAAAAGTGGAACATTTGGATGAGTTCAAGTCAATTTTCTTATACTAAAGGTGGGAATTTAAGAAAGCCTGAATATAATATTATTTGCAAATGGATACTTGAGGTATGGCGGAAATTCCAAAAGAAATAATTGTAAAGTCATTTAAAAAATGCGGTATTAGTAACATAATGGATGGATCAGAAGACGATTTGTTTGGGCAAGATGAAAAAGAGAAGGAAATTGATGAAAATGAAAGAGAAGTTATAGATATAGATAATGATTCAGCTGATGAATTAGATAAATTAGAAGATGATGATGAATTGTAAAATAAAATTTTATTTTGAAATAAAATATGAAATATAATAAAATTTTTTCAA